CTAATCAGTAAAAATACCGAAACTATTAAGGACATCAATGGCGAAGAGAATATAAATAAATTTAAGAGTAATTTAAGATCTGTTTTCTTTTAATGTAACAAGGATCAGCTCAAAGCAGTGCTCTTTTTATTATTGTAGTGAAAGCATTAAAAATGGAATAAAGAGAAGTAACAACGAACATCTAAATTTGAAAGAACAAACAATGCTTATTTCCTTTCACTTTCTCAGGAAACAAACAAGAACACAGATCACAAAAGGAGTTTTGGAATTTACCTTAAGGCTATTAAACGGATCTCAAGACTAGAAGAAACTTAAAGACAAAAGAAGAATCAGAATTATATTTCAACGGAAATATAATGAATCATTTAAAAAAACGCCAAAATAAGGTCTAAAAGATTAATAAAGAACAGCAGTATGCAGAAACTACGCAACGAAGCATGAAACTAGATATTTCAAAAATACAGTCGGAAGCAGCCGGATCTAGTCAAAACAGTGCCTTGAAAGTAACGAACGAAAGAAATGAGCGAAATCCAACAAAATCTATGACAAACAAAGAAAATTTACCTGTGTCGGTGTGTTGTTTGCAAAATTTTAGATCCTGTGGAAGAAGCAGAAGCAGAAGCAGAAGTACCAGGCTTGGGAGAGAAGCGTTGATGATGGGCCAAGTGTTGAAATTCACGCTTAGCAGTTCTGCATTTAATTATGTCATAAAGATAATTAAAAATACCTATTATAAATATTATTTTTATTTGGGTTTAAAAAATTATTCATTAAATTTGAATTAAAATAAAACAAAAAATATATGTAGTTAAAACTCAAATTTAATATACAATTCATATCCAATACGTTTAACCCTAATAACAACCAATAATCGATCAACTCAACCCCTAACTCTATCTAAATTCACTTTTCACCTAATATCAAAAAGGGACAAAATCTTTACCTATTCTTAAATTTCAGTGAAATTAATCTTGAAAAACTCCAATAACATGATACGACTATAATTTATAAAAAAAATTGTAACACAACAAAAAATATATGCAAAAAGTAGTCTACACACCTGGAAAAAACAAATAACTAACAAAAGAAACTAAAATAAATAGAGAAAATTTAAAGGTAATATCAAATCTTTATTGAGATTTTCCGATGACGACGAACATCTTCGACCATGAATCCGTACAGTTAGCAATTTCAGGACAGTGAGTGGATAAAAATTCTCTGAGATCACATGGATCAAACGACAGTGAGTAACTTTCCAAAAATCAAAATATTATATTTAAATTAATTAATATATACCAAACATAAATTTATAAATATCAAGTGTAATATTAAAAATATATATATATATATATATATATATATATATATATATATATATATATATATATATATATATATATATATGAAATCAAAGAAAATTTTATGCATACTAAATCAAATAATTAAAATTTAAAAATACTAAATCAACATATAATCAAATCACTAAATCGAATCTATCTTTGATAACATTAATTAATAAATACATTACAAAAATTAAAATAATATATTTGAATCAATAAAAGGATTAAAATCTATAAATAATTTTGAATAATTACTAAAATTATTAATATTACATATCACAACATATTTCTTAGTGAATCATGACATTCTTGGCGCAGTTATATTTCTTAAATATATTCATAACATTTTCAGCTTTTAACGTATTTTCTTATCGTGAGAATACCTAAGGTCTCATCAGGTTAAACTTTGGTAATATTTTAGGCGAAACCTAAAATATTAATAGTATCTATAACAATTATCAATTATAACTCATTTTCTTACTCTATATAATATTTTAGTGCAAATTATTATGTTATTCTAGCTGATAACTTTTTTTCCTGATTTATAACATTTTGTGTTCCTCTTTAACCTATTACTTTTTTTACTGGTCACGCCGTTTATTAACCTTATTTTAAGCGCCTCACAACAGAACTTTCCGTTATAGGCAACTTGTTTGTACTATCCATCTCCAGCCAGTTCTAAATACATTACAGGGTCAACATGGTTGCCTCATTCGATTAGGGAAGCAAGAGAAAAAACTCAAGCTAAGATAAAGGAATTGCACCAGGATATATCTGTCAAGTCATATCGGATATATAACGAATATGAAAACAAAAACTTTATCGGCATGTTGTTGTAGGCAATGATGAATAAGAATTAATAGTATCAAATTAAAAGTAATTTGTATAAATTAATTAATTTTTATTTATTTATTTTAAAATAAAAGATTCTCTAGTAATCATTAAAAAATTACCAATGTTATTTTATAAATATATAATTATTATTTACGAGATATATATTAAGAATATTCTAAAATAATATATATCTAAAAATATTCGTAAAATAATCTAAATATTTGTAATATTTGATATTACATCTAGAATTGTCTATAAAAGATTCTCAACATTTATAAAATTAATAGCTAAAATGTTGACATGTATCAACAAACCAATAAACACTAAAATCTATAAATATGAGATGAGATTTGTCATTGTTACTAGAGTAGTGAAGAGTATAATTAATTATATGTATATCTATCCTAAAAAATATTTTTAGATCCGCTACTGATAGAGATGATATAAATGAATGATAAAGGAGGCAAATCCAACGGCATACAATATGATTAATGTTTATTTAATAAAAGTCTACATATCTATCAATCTATACTGTCACAAATATTTGCTAAAATCAGTATTTTGAAAATCGGACCGGATCGGCCGGTTCAACTGGGAATCGCTGTCTGATCCGGTTCATTCTACACCGGTTAAACCGCTACTAGTGAATCGGAAGGAACCGTTGAACCGGACCGAACCATGAACCGGTTAAAAATCGATTCTATTTTTTTTCTAAAAAAATTAAATCAAACGACGTCGTTTGTTAAACGAGCCGAGCCGAACTCGAAAACTTTAAAAATAAGCTTAACTCAACTCAAAAACTCACAAGCTAAAAATTATCAAATTCAACTCGAACTTAAAATATAATATTGAAACTTGAACTCAAAAAGGCTTGAACTCAAAAAAAAAATTAGAAGCTCGATTGAAGCCTGAAATTCGAGCTCGATTGAAGCGAAAGAATAATTTGCTCTGTGCTCACGAAAAGACTCCATGATTTTAAATGGCAAATTACCTCTATTATTTATAGAAGTCAGTTGGGATGCTCTTCTATGTTTTTTAGTCATGTGATATTGTTTTGTTTTCATATTTTTACTCTTTAGACTTTTGTGATGCTCTTCCATATTTCTTAGCCATGTGGGATTTTTTTTTAAAAATTAAACCAAACGACATCGTTTGTTATGATTGTTTTAGCCCCAAATTTATTTTTTGATTATAGTTATATAATTATATTTATTATTTAATATATTTTACCTTAAATATTATGTTGTAGTTTATTTGAATCATTTTGTTTCACTTGATTTTATGGTTTTTAACTTATATATGTTATAACTTGCTTTGAATATGACGTGTGATATAAAAAACTGTGTTTTATTAAATGTTTTTTTTATATTTTTATTTAATTTTTTAAATAATAATTAATTATGATATCGTCCGGTTCTTCCGACCGGTCTAACCGATTCGACCGATAGTACAGCCGGTTTGCTGATCGATCCGGTTCTGAAAATCATGATAAAACTTTAACATGAATTAGAATTGATCAATAAATGATCAATAAATGCAATAAGACTGATTTCCACATTTTCTCCCTTCCCATTTTGTCTCTACTTGCAAAAGTGGAATCATGTAAGAAAACTGAAAAGGAAATATCAAAAGGGACGTAGTTACAAGAATTTAAAATGCAAAAACTACATAGGTTCTCCGGATCTTCTTCCTTGGCATACCAATTTGATAATATCTTCAATCTTGTCTCTACTTTCTTTTCCTTTATAATTGGGGCCTCTTTACCACTTCTAAAACCAATACATCGAATAGATTTGTGATGTCATTAGATATAATATATGGATTTCTCGTGTTATCATGCACTTCACATGCTTTAAGTAACGTTTGCATACCACTATCATTGGCAAACCTATCAGTTCTGGTGGTTCGAAAAAAAATATTTAATAAAAAAATAAGTACAAATAAAAATAAATTTTAGTACCTAAAGATGAAGTACTTTAATAGATTCAAATTGGCATGTTAAGACAAATAAATTTTGACCTTCCCTTGTTATAACTAGGATGGTTTCAATTTAAGCAGACTATACGGATGTTCTCATATCAACACTCTAGCCTCACAAATGTCCCACAAATGTTGAAATGTATTAACAATTTAATGAACACTTAAATCTATAAATATGAGATGAGATTTATCATTATTATTAGAGTGAAATAAACACTAAAATCTATAAATATAAGATAAAATTTATTATTGTTATCAGAGTAGTGAAGAGTATATCTATCCTGAAATTGTAGTTGTATTCATCTTCTATTAAAATTTTATGCGATTAATATATATGTATGCTTATTCTAAAAAAATATTTATGGATTCGTCACTAATGAAGGAATGATATATTTACATCACTTTCTCCACAATTTTCCCTTTGTTTCTCTTAAGATTTTATGATGCGATGGCTATAAACGGGAATGGGACTCAAACATACAAAGATAATATAGAGCAAGATCTGGATAGGGACATCTAATAGGTTATGTTATGGACAGGAAGAGGTCTATGTGAAGAATTATTTGAGCAGCAGCAGGCAAAATTATGTACTCTCTTTGATCCTTACACGAATAAACGAATATTTAAAGAAAACAACGAATAAAGAATAGTCATTTGATTGCTTCTTCCAATAGGTTGAAGAAACAGCAATGCATAACATATTCTGTAATACTAACATTCAATGCAATTCAACATCAGTAAAGTACTTCATTTTTATTGTTAATTTATTGATTACATTATACTGAAACACACAGATGAGGCCTTCTCCTAAAGGAAATTTGAGGCTCCTTTTTGCTTTACTTAGTACCTTCAATCTCAAAAGCTGATTCAGGGTAAGATCTGGACAGCCCTGCAGGGGTCCTGAATGTGATTTTTCCAGTGGGTGGATCATCAACAGAGATGTCACTCAGTGTGACCCAAATCAAAAGCTCCTTGCTTTTAACACCAGTTAGCTTCTTTATCTTGCTCTTCTCAATAAAAGCTGTGACCTCAGTTGCATAGGAAACAGGCTTCCCAATCTTCTCAAACTTGTGGGTTATGCTCTTCTTCTGTTTAAGCCAAACGAATCCTGTGTCCTTCACATACCCACATTCTTCTATGTCTTTCAAGGGCAAAAGCCCTCCTGGCATGCCCATCTCCTCCAGCAAAGCCTTGGATTTCTCTTGGCAAATCTCATCTCCATGATATACTTCTGAAGCACTGGCTTTGATCTCTTCTGTCACCAGGGACATCTTCTCCGTAACCTGAGAACTAGTGGGGGAAAGAAAAACAGCTTAATGGCCGACGAAAGTGAAAAAGACGATGGCGATTGATATAGTTCTAAAGCTATGTATTCACCCTTGTGGGCACCAAAATATTTCTAAAATGCCATTATGACAAGTGGCAGGCATGCATGGCTTTCGGACTTGGGTTTTAGCCATAAATGATGATTCCTGGTCCATTCTGGCTGCTTCCCATTTCTGGTTCAGGTGCAGTGGCTTAGGTGAGCTAACTGGTATAGCCGAGTAATTTAGGTGAACAGAAAGGGGCACTAAATTTTGCCTACCTTGTTGCTGTTTGGTTATTAATGAATTTCTGATAACAGTTGGCAACTTGCAACAGACATTAAAAGAGAGAAAAAGGATTTGCCTAAACCCGTACGCCAACTGTTATTTTACGTGGGAATGGGATTCCGGTTTTTTCAAGTAACATATCATGTCATAAAGATGAACCAGAAACGTGTGGGAGATCCTGAGACCTAACATTCAAAGGGTTCAATGCTAATACATATTTTACCACTTTGTTGATGTTGATGAGAGCAAATATTGATGGATGATTCATCTGTTTGGTTTGAATGAAAAATCACAATCAGTGATTAGACGGTAATTAATTCGTGTCAAATCTTTTTTTCTTTACGAGGAAGAAGAATAATAAGTGTAAAAGAAAGATTTTTAAATATTTCTCTTAATCTTATCAAAAGATTTTATAGTATATCTTAATGTAGATGTCATGTCTAAAACCATTATGAATATTCGTAAATTGTAAATGAACAAGATAAAGTTGATATGGTCAATTGCCAATTAATTTTGATTCTAACAAATCTCGTAAGATTTGTCTAAATCTGAAAATACTCGAATTCTTAGGAGGTCCTAAAATGCAAAAGAGATTTGAGAGATATAACAATGTTAAACCAGACATGGGGGAGGGGGGCACTGTGGCTGTCTCAGCTTTGTACAAGCAGGTCATTGATGATCACTTTGTAACAAGTAATACCACTTTGCAGTAATTTCATGGACTATCAATATAAAACAATTATTAGCCGTTGACAAAGTTGCAGATCAAAGATCAAAAGAATTGGTTGATAGCACTTGTTTGCTGAAAATATAGGACAGAAAGAAGAACATGGAGCATTCTCTCACCGAAAATGTTTGGGTACAAATAGATGCACACAGGACAGGCCATTTCTGCTGGAAAACTGGCATAGAGTCTTAAGAATGACCTCCATTGCCCGCAGGTGGTGATCTTTGCGTAAAATGGTTTGCAGCTATTATACTCTTATGGCTTCCAACCCCATTGTATGGCTGTAATTATTTAGCAAGGATTCAATGTGTTTGATCTCCTTCGGCATTGATCCAGTAAGAACCTGTTTCCATATTTACACAATCAGAAAAAAAAAAACACAGCATCCATATCACTTGATTAATATCAGCAACAAATCACATCAAATACAGACAAACCCCTTAAGAATGAAATCGAAAAAGTAATAATAATTGTGTGAATGTAGTTCGAGTCGTTACCTCACAACCTGTTTTGGTAATCAAAACTTCATCCTCAATCCTTATTCCTGTGTCTTGGTACCTACAACACGTCCTCATTAACTTTCACCAGAAGTATCATCCTTCAAATCCATGTCGGACAATCTTAGTAAGGACTCTTTACCATGACAATGACTTCAAATGCAAACACTGACGTTTTCAGTTAGACGTCCTTATACATTCAGAAGTATATTTTATTCTGGTAGATGAAAGTTGGCTTCTTAAACCAAGTATATGCACTCAACAAGCCGTAGGTTCATCTTGCTTATGACACCACTATTGCAGTTCAACAAATGATGGCATAACCATAGCAAACCCATATAAAGGTATATAACAATCCTTAATCAGATATCGGACTGAAATAGTATTTTTCATGAGTGTGGTTTTTCAGACTTTGAGTTGTAGTGATACGTATTTAAGGAAGCATAATAAGTGGCATTAGGGCATGGTTCATAGGAAGCTCCAGGTTAGGTTTTGAATTTAAAAATGATTTCTGTTTAGCTACTCCATAAATACCTCTCTGGAACATCAAAAGTAGATGGGATATAGATTCCTGGCTCAATGGTTATAACCTGCCATGGACAGTAAATTCACATCAACATTCCAGTAGATAAACTTCAAGGAGGATATACTCATATTACGAGTGAAACTACAAAGGAAACAACTACTCCTATTGTGTACTTTGTGTGGATTTCATGGAAGTGCAAAAAACTTATATTGACAGGTAGTGCAAAATGGGGAGTTGGTTGCAGATACCGACAAAGGACTTCGCTGGAAGAGATAACTTACAACTCCTGGCTTCAAAGGACGGTCATATATGATCATGGAACTATCATGGACATCCATTCCTAGATAGTGACCTGGACAAGAAATTTACCAGGCACGATAATCATTTGATTTGCAATTTTGAAAACCAAAACAATAGATGATAATGTTTTGATGTCATAACAAAGTCAGGTCGACGAAAAAGCTAGTCAATGGAAGCTTAGTCTAACCTATAGAAGTTGGGTTCAGCTGGTGATAAGTTCTATATTCATCCCTTTTCAAAATCCCAATTTCCTTCAATCCTTTGCATAGCAATTCAACCTGCAACAGGACACAACATTACATGATCAGAATATTTCCATTGCAACCCAACACAGCTTATGCTTCAAGTAGCAGTCGGGTAGATATCAAAAGAAATGCTTATTCCAAAAGAAAATAAATAAAAAACGGGTAAAATATGCTCAGTCAATGGGGAAGGGAGATCATCTAGATCACTCCCACTTCCCAATACATTAAATAGCCCAAATATGCAACGAACTTACTACAACATGCACATGTGCCGATGCCATAAATAATCAACAATTAAATAATTAATATGATCAATGGCTCATTTGAAGCACACCCCTGTGTATCAAAATAAGTGATATTGGCCATTTTTAAAAAAAACTGAAACTTGAGAAAGAAAAAAGTGGAAATAATACGGATCCAGTACCACAAGGTAAATACCTAATTTGTTCACATTCAGAAGAGAGTATAGCTCCCATGAACTTTAACAAACTAAAGGATGAAAACTAGATTGCATGGGTGTATGTGCACACTAAATTCCTTTTATAAACTTATTGTTTTATCTTAAATTGAATGTATAGTTCAAGATGTACTGGTAACAAATGAAGCATTTGTTTCCAAACTTTAGGAGGTACTACAGTTTGTTGTTCATGAAAGAACCAGTACATTGTCCTTTCTTGTGGAAAACATCAGCACCCAAAAACAACGGATAAATGAAAAAAGAAATAAGCAAAGAAAACTGAAAAATCTGTGATTTTGAACTCTTAATACCATACCGAGTAGTTGTGTATTTGACGGATTGTAGCACTAGGTTTGCAAAGCCTTATGCATTCCTTGTTTGTTTGTAGTATGAGATCATAAATCTCCTCCTGCAAAATTCAAAATCAAAGCTATAAGCTTCTCTACTCAGGTCATATGACAAGTAAAAACGAACAGAAGTAGAACCAAAAATTTTATCAAGTAAGATAAGGAACTTAAACAAGCATGTACTCATCCCAGAATAACTTAGTGAATCGTCCATAAGACATCAATAAAGATAAGCTGTAACTATCTGATTGATGAAGACATGCTGCTAATCAACCCCATCACACCAATTAAAATGAAAATAACACCATTGCATGATAAAGAAAGAGAACAGTTTCAATATTAGTTTTCTGTAAATGAAGGAAGCAAATTCACATGAAACAAATTGATAATACAAAAGCATACTTGTATGGAAGAAAAGCTTCCACAGGGTGGCCAAGTACGAGTAAGATCACTGCAATAACCATGCAGCTCACATCCAACATCCATCAAAACGAGATCCCCGTCTTTAATCTGAAAGACAAATAGCAAAGTCAAATCTACCATCGGTCGTCCTTACATAAACATGACATGAAAATCTTATTTGCATTCTGTTGGTGATCTGAAAAAAGATAACATCTCATATTAATCATACTTACTTTCTGATCATTTCGAGAATAATGTATTACACAAGCACTAGGCCCACCACCAACCACTGGGTTAAATCTGGCGAAGGACAACGATACTACTGAGTTAAAAATATCTGGTAGATAAGTTCACAATGATACTAATGATATTTTTTTCTCCAACAAAAATATTTAGCAAAAGAAAAGCATGCTTTCAAGTCTTTTACAATGGCAAAAACTTACGCCATTCTCTGAGCACCTCTCATTCTGCATTCGTATTCAACCTTAGCTGATAGTATGCCCTCATGAGGATATGCTCTGGAATGAAACATTGTCTGCAAAAGAGCCTGTCCAAGAAAAGCTATATAATATTATGAATACCAGAGAAGTAATTACCTTCTCAAGACTACAAATATTTCATAAGCAAAAGGGGCATCTATATGAAGTGAAATTTCAGTAATACTATAAAGTAAAGTTGATTACCACCTGACAAGCGATTGCTGCAGATTCTCTCATTAACTTAAGTTCAGCAGGAGATTTGGCCCATCGTAGCTCATGGGTGAAAATGGAAAGGTCGCTCACTTTCCCAACATGAGCTGCGTTTTGAAAGGTCTCCAGATCTGTGTAGCTTGGTGTAGCAGTCAGCTTATTGTGGAACAACTTGGAAGATCTTTTTATCATATTTGGAAGTATCTGCCAGGCATTATTAAAAATATTTAAAAAAAAAAAACAAAGATGTTACCTTTTCCTTATCATATCATATGATCCAAAGCAAGCCATTTGAGATATCATATCTATATAACAGATTATCATATTACCTTATCTAATTTGCTCATTGGATATGCTTCTTCAGCTTTAAACAACTCCAGTGCTGCATCAACTCCTGCTATTTGTCCTTGCCAAACAACATCCTACACGCCCCATAACTTCATAAAATTTTGAATGAACTTAAAAGTCAAAACATGCCATGCATATAAGAAGGACATGAAGGAATTAGATCATTTCAGCCTCTCTACAAAACTAAAGAATTACAGATATCATGATGTTTTCATGTCACCCTGGTTCACGCCCAGTGGAAAAGTACAAATGAAACTGTCTATCTTATAATTTTAAAATGGAAAAAAGGGGAAAAGTTAAATCCTTTTTATTGCAAAAATTGGGGGGGGGGGAAGCATTTAGTATCAAAATACTCAGTCAGACAACAGCAACATACATGAGGTTTTGCTTCTGGCATGAACATGCATAACCCAGACTCGTGACTTAATATTGCAACACCACCAGGTTGTTGACAACCAGTAAGATACAAATAATCTGCATCTTGTCGAAATGTATACGGCACAACATCAGTCATCATCTTTACAGGGGCAGCGGCAATGACAGCCAAGCTCTTTTCAGGGAGAAGTTCCAACAATCTTTTCCGTCTAGAGATGTATTCCTCAGTAGTTATACCGGGGGTAAGTTCTCCTTCCTTCATCAACTGCGAGGCAAGCATGAAGTAAAAATAAAAACTTACAAATACTAAACTAAACATAAAGCATACGTAAAACCTTTTTCTCATTGTCCAAGGAGCTGAACGCATCAAATTGCTATTTTACCAAAACCTTAAATTAATTGCAGACCAATCATCCAAAGCATTTTAAAAAATAACTTCTCAAATCTCTATCTTATTTTCTAACATCAGAGTTTTGAGGACGCATCAAGAAACGCACCTGAGGATGAGATGCAGGAGTTGGTTGTCCAAAATCAGAAACTTTCCCAGTCGAATACGTACGGAGACGGATAGCCTATGAAGTAATTATCTTTAAAATGGTTAACAGTCATAGAATAATCATAGTTTTCCAGTAACAGAAAATCTCTTTTATACCATCCAAGCACAAAACTGTCTAATTGAATAGTTGATAGTATGAACTGAACATATAATAGTTACAACCTTACCCTTCGATTTTCATTCAAAGAAAAAGGATAAGTAAAAAATGTAAAAAATTTTAAACTAGAAGACGTCCCATGTTTAAAATTCGTTCATAAAAAAGCCTTCAAAACAATAATTAAAACCAAAAGAAAGCGAATTTGATTAAAATAAGCATAGTTTTGATACGAAGCTGGTAAAGCAAACCTTCAAAATTCACAACCAACTGAATGAACCAACCGGGAAGTATCCCATTTGAAAATTCAATTAACAATCATATATTGAAGTCCCAAAAAGAAGGAAGATGATATAAATATGGTTAATTGAAGCAAAAGACGCTGAGCATCTATAATTTGAAAAGTACCCACTTGATCATTCGTTCCAATAAGCATAAAACCAACCATGAGTACTGTTTACTGCCAAAAAAATGAAGTTACGAGGTAGACGAGGAAGAAGAAAGGTACTTGTTTGAAGGACAATTGGTGCAGCAGTCTCCTACTCAGAATCCTCATCGTTATGTTTTTGTTTGATTCCTCAGCTGGGTAAACAGGTATGCTCTGGTTCCAATGTTTGTTCAGTAAAAATATAAAGAAGTTGTGTTCGGGGTATGATTTGTAAGAGGTTTTGGGAAGTCAAAAGTATATTCCAGTTTAGGGTTTTAGGACTTGAAAGGAGTTCCCGCACACACTCGGTCACCCAACTAATCGAAAGAAGTCTAATTCTTCTTTCCCCTTATTTGGGAGTCTTTTGAAGTCTAATTCTTCTTTCCCATTATTTGGGATTTTTCCCCTACTTTTAGTTTATAAGCAATATAAATCGAAGTACTTTGTACCTGCAAGCTCAAACTGAACAAGAACGTTTTCTGGCTCTAAATCACCTCGGTTGCAATAGAATAGGAAGTACACAACATGGCAATATCGTGCTTATAGCTGCCAGATGTAAGTAGATAGTTGGCAACAATAACATTTTTCCCCGAACATTTAAACCAGCAAGAATGCAAGCTTGTCACCACTCTTTTCTCTTTCTTTCATTTAATATGGATCATTACATCATTTAAACATTAAAGAGTTGATAAGAGTTTCTCAATTAAAAATGTGCAAGCTTTCTAGAATGTGATCGAACAATCAGCTTGTTTTGATAGAATCAGTCTCTTCAATTCCAGAGCTAGACCCCAATTCTAAGGCGGGAAATGTTGAACCAAAAAACTAGTCAATTACATATATAAAACATCAAAGAAAACGTTTAAGAAAGTCCTTTATATTGTCGATGTATGGAGACCGAGTAGGTATGATATGACCAAATTCATGTTCGATAACAACAGAGCAACCATCTTCAAATCTTGATGCTAGGTATTTGCTGGTATGGCTTGTGATCTGCTTGTCTTTGCCTGGATAACTACCAAATATATGAAGTGAAGGGCAGTTAATGGGATTTCGCCCAAAATCTGCTAATGGAAGAGCAAATCCAGAGCACAATATCACAAATCTGAAATCAATTTCACCCTTTAGCTTGTCTCTTTGTGCACCAAGTAAAGCAGCCATCGCTGCTCCTTGTGAAAACCCCAAGATTCCATCAAAGGGTCCTTGCTCTGAGAACAGTTTTTTCAAATAGGTTAGTGATACATCAAAGCCATCAGTTTGTCCCTGGTATTGAAGAGGATCGAAAGGCTGATTTGCTATTTTCCAATCAGCTTCCACCTCTCCACCAAAATCGGGGGCAACCAACCATGCATACTTCCTCTTGCAGTTCTCTGGTGGAGGAGCATGCTGTCTAGAAGATGGAGCACAACTATTGTTTACTTCTGTACAAGATTGGTAAATGAATGGCAACTCGTGGGGTGCATCAATGAAAACAAGTTCTGCAACGCTTTTAAGTTTCTTGGCTAATGATGCACTTCTTCCTTTAAAACTGGAGGCATTTTGCCGAAAACCATGCAAGCATAAAATTCTTAGTTTCCTAGGAGGCGCAAAGCCTGTCAATAGAAGTTATAGCAACGTTAGGACCAGCAAAAAGGAAATTGAAATCAATTCTAACATTCAACTTCACAAGCACTAGGGATATCTAGGTGATCTAGTAGTCGGTATTTAAAATGCAAGTTTCAAGAAAAATTCTCTAGCAAATGAGCTTTACACATAATTTCCAAATCTATTCGTAATATGCAATATGTATGATTTTGTAAATAGAAACAACAAGTGTCAAACCAAAGAATATAACAAAGAAAAACAAAAAAATATCAAGGACGAGATATTAATAATAATGAAAAACAGTCGAGAGTATCCCTAACGTCATTAGGTTAATCAATGAATTACTTAGCATTTCTTGCTTAGCCTAAGATTTGCTCTTATATACAAGATCACAGACCTTACCATTTCTTGAAGGCAGCTGAGATGAGATTATGGAATCTGAACAAACAGATTTCAGGTCATTTTCGTCCAATACTATTGGAAGCTCACTATCTTCCACAGATGAAATTGATCCGATATCCAAACGATGTTTCTGGCACAGCTCACAAACATATGCATTACTCTTTATCTGCCACCCCAAATGACAAAACTCAGATACAACAATGATGAAATATAGAAAATAAAAGGTTTACAAGAATAAGCCTCAATGTAATTATGTAACAGAATCTTGTGGGAAAAGATGACTAAAGAGATAATTCTAGAACATACCTGACAACTATCACATATCAAAACAAGCATTCTGCAGTGAGTGCAACGGCAGCGTGAAGAATAATTGTCGTAAGAAGAGCCACAAATGAGGCAGGCACCCATAATACCAGTATCCGAGCTCCCAACTGAAATCCTATCAGCAATACAGAGAAATATAAGGAAAATCACTGGTTCTCGCAATTCATGAACTAGACTATAATGCTAGTATGCAATTTCTATTTTCTGCCGAACATGACAAACTAATACTATATGGATATGGGTTATATGCCAACAATGGCATGTTTACAAGCTAAGAAACCATACCGGTGATCAAACACAAAGTTCTTTCCTCTGAAGAAACCACCATCAGGGAATTGTTCTAAATAGCGTTGTATTCCCCCATATAACTGCAAATAATGTCAACACAGTCAAGACTATCATGGTTACCCTCATCATAATGGGTTGAGCTTACTTACTTCAGGTGATATTTTCAGAATAAGTAAACATCAACTTATAAATTATTCCACAGATAAACAAGAAGCTAAAGATGGTAATTTTCTATTTGGTTTCAGAAGCTAACCTGAAAAACATTCTCAAACCCAGCACCTTTTGACCTAATATAGGCTGACGCCATCTCACAACGGATTCCTCCAGTACAATACCTGTAATGCAATCCTGTTAAAAAATATCTTCAAAAAGGTGGAAGAACATAATTAACATTAATCACAGATTCCATTGTTTAGAGAGGGTGAGTTATTGCCACATTCTGTAACCAGACTTTCAACCAAAAAGAATATCATCTAATAACAAAGGGATCAAAAAGTGCAAGTGAATAGTTGTTTGATAAATTTGGATCCAGACAATGATTCACAGGCATTGAAGAACTGGAATACAAATCCACAGAACATTATCGGGATTCAGAATGCTTACATGAGGACATGCTTTCCGCGCAATTGTTCTGAGTTATCATCTATCCAAGAGGGCAGATCACTATATTGCCTGATACCTGGGTCTAGTGTTTCCACACTTGGAGCATGAAACTTGCCAATTCTTGTCTCATATAAATTTCTCGCATCCAATAGAACCAGATGCTTATCATCGGTAGAACTTCCATTATTCATAAGTTGCCCTGAGAAGCATTAAAACAACCATTAATAAACACAAAAATCACGAGCATTAGCCAAGAAAAAAACATATCTGATGAGAAGTATCAAAAGTAATTAAGAAGCCTTTGAAAAGGAGAGACCAAAGTCCATACCAGCACTTTGAAGAACAGAATGGAATTCGGAAGCAGAGAGATGCCTCCCAGCATTAAAAACCTCAGGAGGTTTTAAAAGGGGATGAGAACTGAAAGTAACCAATTCCTAAGAACATATAAAACAAAATATTACACAGGCGGGAAACTTCAACATAGGACATGTAAATATCTTAGATAGCATCAGTACAAAGCCAGACTTAAACTCCATTGCATACACATTCAGTAAAACTCTCTCTCATTCGAAGTTTATAGAAGCAAGACAACACGAATGGAAGCAGAGAGATGCCTCCCAGCATTAAAAACCTCAGGAGGTTTTAAAAGTGAGCGTCTAAAGTAACAAGACAAGTTTGGAAGCTGAAAATTATTATAAAACAGGTCCTGAAAGGGTTGGAGCAAGGAACAAACCTTGACAACACGAATGGAAAGAGAAGTAAAGCCACATTCAGCAGCAACCTTGTCGTTCAAAGGATGATGCGAAGAAGCAAGTTTGAAGTCAGTTCCTTCGAACAAACTATTCGATTTCACAGCTTCTATGTGCTTCTCCAATGCTGACAGCAAACCACCGACCTGCATATCAGAAAAAATGAAAAATACCCAAGCATCCTTGGACTACAAAGAATGCAACTTTACACAAAAAAAGGTTGGAAATGGCAAGCAGAACATACGGTGACATTAACGCCATTAGGAGAGAGACGGACTCGGCCGACAAGACCCAGAGAATTGCAGTTGGAATTGTAGAAGGAGAAGAGAGAATTGAGATCTGGGATGGAAGCGAATTTGTAATAGAGAAGTACTCCATATTTATCATTTGACATTTTCTTCGGTTAGAGTAATTTTTGGTTGTTCTGGTGTGAACTTTGAGCCCTAAACCCTAATAAGTAAGAACACCCTTGAGCCTTGATCTTTGGCTGGGTTCCGTCACTTGACTGCTTTTTTTTTTTTAATTCTACTATCTGTTTCTTTTCAAATGGTATTAGGGTCTATTACTAATAGAGTTCATTTTTATTTTAAATTTTTGATAAGATAGCAATTGAATCCTCCTACTAATAATAATTTAACTATTTCTGTCTTTGACAAAACCCTTTTCGTCCTTCACCATCCTATTGTGCCTTTTCCATCGCCAACGACCAATTTGATCCCTTCCTGTGTTAATTTCGCACTTTGAGAACTCAAAGGTAAAGCAGACTTAATGTCATTTTTATGGTTTATATGGCAACCGTAAAATGAAGATGAAGGTTTTTCCGATTACCAGGGATTATATTTGAATCGATTGTGAGTCGAATGTCTGATAAGAAATGCCCCTTCATAATTTTGTTTAGAAACGTCAACGCGAAATTCCCTTCATTTGTGTAAGCTGTTGGGCATCATCAAGCATGGCTGCTATACGAGTAGAACATTGCCCTTCAGTCCCATAATATTTCATCACTTTTCCCCTTTTGTTTAAGAGATTATACAAGATTGCGAGTGGGACTAAAGTCCGTACAACATCGACGAAAACATATAGGGAAAACCAGAATTGTTGACTAGGCTAAACAACCTAGGCCAACAAGCAAACTTGAGAGACAAAAACAGAAGTGGTTCGAGAAATGCAACAAAGATATTACATTGATAAAGGTAAGAATTCAAGTCTTCCGATACCCAACAACCAACCAACATATCATACGATACCGAAAGGGATGCCATTTAGGAAACACATGACTTCACAACTCTGGAAGACCAAATTGGTGGTGGCATAGAGAGCAGACAAGAAACAATAGTCTATACAGACAAACATAAAATATGAAAATAAATGATAAACAGACTAATAAATTTCATCTCATTGCACCATAAGATGACACTACTACCACCGGCCTGGCCAACGCCTCTGTTTCCAACAGGACATGCCCCTCTCAATGCCTATAGCTATAGCAGTGCAAGAAAACCATTAATGCTAATTTCAAACTTCATAACTATTACATGCAAAATTTTCCAATGGAACGTAGGATGAAATATAGAAATATAAATAAAATTTAAAGCCCTTTCAAGCTCGAGAAATACACCCTGCTCCAAAAAAAAGCAACAGACCTCGCGTCCATGCACCAAAATAAAAGCCCCGACTCATTGACAGCAATGAAAATGCAAACACAAATCTAAAAATTTCACTGCAAGCAAAGTAGTAAGACCTACAAAACTAAAGGCAATTTTTCAAAACTAAATACTTCAACCAAATTTGAAGCCACCAGGTGGAGTGTATGCCAACAACTTAGGACACATTGCTATCCAAGTATACATGTATGCACCATGATTTAATCTTGCATTTGGACGATAATATCATAATATATTCTCCCATGAATCAATGTATGGAGGTTTGTCGGTGTTCATGTGTCTTTTTGTAAACATGCATGGATGTGCAGTCCAATAAAGGAAAAACTGCAATGCAAGCAAAAGACTAGCAGGGGATACTTAATCTGCTCTTGAGATCCTCCAGAGGTTGCATTTGAGATGGCCCATGCAGCCTCTTTCTTAATATCAAACTCTGCATGTTGGAGAAGGTGTACAAGAGGAAGAATAATATTTGCCTCGATAACTGCCTGTAACACAGGAAATCAAACAAATAATAACAACATGAGTGCCTTTCATGTGATATATAGAGCCCAAGAACTAGTACTAGTTGAAGTCACACTTAGGTAAGCAAATCAATGCTTCAATTACAATGAACAAAAGTTAGCAACATGATATCAACACCTTTGAAATCATCACTAAAAGCAAAAGCCATATTGGCACTTTTAAGGCAATCAAACAAGGTGATTAAATTGTTGTACCTTTACGTTGCTGAATACATTGAGGCAATAGAATCTTCAAAGTATTAGGGGAAGGGAAAATTATACCTGTATTTGAGCTCCATTCCCAGCTGTTATATTGGAGATTGTCCAACAAGCTTCTTTCTTTATGCTTTTTTTGTGATTTTGTATGAGAAGTTGATAGAGATGAGGAAGCACCCTGTTGTCAATCACAAACTGAAAAATATACCCAGAGTAATTTCGCAGCTTTTAAAGGAAACAAAGAAAAAACTTCCTAATAATTGTTTATCTTTGTGCAATCAACAACAATAGGGCTTTAAAGTACTGTTTCTATTTAAAGGAACGGGTTTGTTTACTATATCATTAAAATCAGATTATGCTTCATGAACAATCCAAAGTCCAAACGAAGCAAATAAATTCAGTGCAGTAAAGAAGATCAATCAGCATCTAAGAAAAACATTACTGATGTGAAGAAGGCTGTGAACATGCATAAATGTACTTCATACCTGAGTCTGATTATCATCACCAGTGGCAATGTTTCCCACAGTCCGAAGAGCAGGTATAAGAACTGTAGGTGATGGATGACTGGCATGAATGAATTTTAGTCAGCACCAGTAGTCAAAATATTGCAACAAGTATAAAACTGACAAAGTATACAGACATAAAAACCCTGTGACAGAAGCAAAAACAATAGGCTGTAGCTAAGGAGAAGGTGCACGATATCAATGCTAAAAAATTCCCGAGGAAAAAAATCTAAGGGTAATTAGCTTTCAAGTATTCTGTAGAGAATGCATAAGCTTACCCTAGAAGTTCCACAAGCCGTGGGCAGACCCCAGCTTCAAGCACAACCTGAATTTTGTCATTTGGACCATCGGAAAGATAAGACAGAGCCCAGCAAGCATCTGTCAGAACTTCTTCATCATTCAAGTAGATAAGTTCCCTTAGAATTGCTAAAGCAGGCTTCACCTGAAAAGAAAACAAAGTTTCTATTATGAACTCCACAGATTATAAAAGAGCATTGCGCCAAAATAAAATAATAAACCTAACTCTGACTGTGAATACTTCTCTTATACAAAATTAAAGATGAGCCTCTCAAAGTCTCAACCTGTTCAAATGGAGTCGGTGGCTTGCACGGCAAAAATTAGATAATGTCCATCTAGCATTCCTCATCATTGATAATTTTGATCGCTCATTTAACTGAGCTAACAATGGCATAAATGCACCATTACCAAGAACTAGATCTCTACAACTTGGTGAATCACCCGCGACATTACCTAAAGCCCATACAGCCTAAACAGAAAATAGGGTGACAACAGTAATTACAAGCAATGAACACGGATAAAATGAGGATTGACAAAAAAAAAGGCATTATTGTACAAGTAAAGTAAATGTAGTATGGAAATTAATTCCAGCATAGATAACTCTAAGTGGGAGCAAACAAAGCAACTTAGGACAGGATATAAATATATGAAGTGACTGATAAAATAAACCTAGAAAATGTAGAACTAAAAATAGTAATGGTCAGAGATTCATGGAAAGTAAGAATTTTTTGTCATTTTTCAGTAACAAATACAGGAGATAAAGATAAGTTATTGAAACAAGAACTGACCTGCTCTCTAACATCATCACTAGAAGAACTAAGCAGTTGCACAAACATTGGGACGGCACCATGTTCAATAACAACTCGTGTGTGTTCAGATGTGCCAGAGGCAACATTGATCAAAGCCCAGGCAGCCTCAAACTAAAATCAAAAGATAGTTGGTGGGAAATGAAAGAAATGAGAGAGAGTGTCAGAGAGAAAGCGAGAGAGAGAGAGGGTGTTATAGGCGGTCAGTCCTCCGGTGAAGATTGGACGGTGTTTGTCAACTATCTGAGTAATAGGGTAACTTGGAGAACAGTGAAGGAAATCTTTCAACAACAAGGTAGAGTTATACGAGTTTACATTCCGAGTAGCTCCAGGAAGCAGAACTATAGAAACCATACGTTTGCTTTCGTTCAGTTTGCGAAGGAGGATGGGTTGAAGAAGGCGGTAGCAAATGTGAATGGTATTTGGATAGATGGAAAGAAAGTCTCAGTTGGAGTAGCTATGTACCAGAAGAAGAGGTTCAGGCAAGCTGATAATAGTAATGTCAGAAGGGAAGAAGATAAGTTGAATAAGGGAGTGACTTCGAGAAGAGGAGTCGGATCAGAGTCGTTCAGTAGATTGAGGGAAGAGAGATCGTATAAGGATGCACTAGTCTCTTATGATGAGCGAAGGGAAGTCCAGGCGAGTAAAGAGATTAAGGAGGGTCATCCAGGAAAGGAAGCAGGGCTGAGGAATTTGTGGGAGATGCATATCCCATTAGATGAGTATGATTGGGTTAAAAGATCATTGACTGGAATTATCAAAACCCAATTTGATTTGGAGTTAGTGGTGAAGGGGTTGGCTAGTGATGGAATCATGGTCAAGGGAGCTAAATGGGGTTATACATGGAATTCTTGTATCTTAACTTTTGGTTCGGTGGAAGAATTAGAGAAAGCAAGGTCGAGTAGAGGGGAGGAAATGGCTTTTTGGTTTGATTGGCTTGATCCACTTATGAACGAAGAAGGTGTTCCAATGGCATTTTGCTCAGTTGAATTGGTTGAAATCCCCTTATTATGCTGGAATGTTTCTTTTTTGGAAAAGTTAATTTCAAGGTGGGGGAAGTTGGTGTATATTCATGAGTCGACAGTCAATAGGGAGGATTTAACGGTGGCAAGGGCTCTGCTGAAGGTGGCCAGCCCGTTTGACATACAGGAAACTGTTACTTTGGGTTCGTATGGGAGATCTTTTAAGGTGAAAATTAATGTGGGGTCGGCTAGTATCAAACAGGAAAGTTTTGCAGCAAATAATTCTATGATGGCCAGAGATGGTGTGCCCAGTATCGAAGCATTATCAGAGGAGGAAGAAGACAGGCATTCAGACAGAGTTGGTAATCCAGATTTGATAGCTGCGGATTCTAGGGACACAATAGACAGATGGTTGGTAGGGGATAACTGTACAACTATGTCAGGCGGCAAAGGGGGAGAGCATTTATTGTTGCAGGAAGTAGAAGGTCAAACTAGTGGTGCTAAGATGTCAGACTCACCAGATGAAATTTTGAAATTTAAAGGGAATTTTCGGGGTCTTGGGTTAAGAAATGATTTTCTAAATGAAAATGATGAAGCCCAGTCCATGGACTTGAGTGAGCCCACCACAAACAACTCTAAATTTTCACCTTCTGGGCCTGGTGTTAATATAATCAAATTGGGGTATGTTTCGAATCTTGGTGGGGTTATTGACAGAATTCAGCCTATGTGTAGAGGAGCTTCCAAAAAGTTAAATGAGGAAATTACAGACGATGTGGCAGTCCTGAACAAAGAAGCTAGCAATGAAGAAGAAACAGAGGAGGGTCGGGAAGCTTTGCCGCTTCATATGGGCAGAATCCAGGGGAAAGAATGTAATAAGGAGTCTCTTGCAATTGGTTTAAGGAGTTGGAGTCCTTTTAATCACTTGTCTAGAAGTTTGTATATAGGAAGGTGGAATAGAGGTTCCATTTCTAGAGTGTATAGAAGATCTAGAGAAAGAAAGGTGTGGTTTAATCCGAGCAGAGAAAATGGGACATTGCAACTTAAGGAGTCGAATGACCACAACAGGACTAGAATCAATCCTATTACGAGTAATCTACCTATTCCTAATACCCTGGAGAGAAGACCAAATGGGAATCAGGATGAAGGTGGTTCTAGTCACAATTCAGAAGTAGACCAGTCACAGCATTCTCGGGGTGCTGAAGGAGTTGTAACAGGTAATCAATCTGGATCAGTGGCAAGGAATGGCAATAGAAGAATGAGAAGGCTTTTGATTAGGGAAGCACTGGATGTGGCTAGTCTCCCTACTGTGTATTCTTCAAAATTCTCACTATTTTTGGAAGAGGCTCTAGCTACATGGGAAGTTAGTAAAATGTTGGGTATCTCATTCAAAGAGGGGAATAAGGCCTTCCTGGAAAAAATAATTAATCTGGAAGAGGGATTGGCTGAATGTAGGGAAGGGGTGGATCCGGGGGAATATGGATCTTTTGGAAGCTTTGCTTTAAGGTTTTGGTTTCATACTTGTCTTCATGGTACAGATTAAGATTATTTCATGGAACATTAGGGGTATTCGTAAAAAGGAAAAATCAAGAGCCATAGTTAATATGGCCAAGCAGTATAAACCAGGCATTCTACTAATTCAAGAAACAAAGCTAGAAAATTGTTCTCAGGCTCTTAGGAGAAAAATAGGTGGTAATCTTCTTAACGGTTGGATTTTTGTTCCAGCAGTGGGGTCTGCAGGTGGATTAATGGTGTTGTGGAATGAGAAGGATTTTGAAGTTACAAACAGACATTTAAGTGGAAAATTTATAGCCATATTTGGAAAATTTAAGAATTCAAATGATGAATGTGTGATTATTAATGTTTATGGTCCTTGTATTGACTCTGAAAAGGAGGATTTCTTCAGGGAGCTACTGAATTTTGTAGCTGCTCAAACCGTATCAGTTTGCATTGGGGGTGATTTTAATATGTACCTTGATCCGGCAGAGAAGTTGGGAAAGTCTCAGAACTGGTTCTCTATAGATATACTTAGAAATTTCCTAAGTCAAACAAACTTAATCGATCTACCTATGGTCGGGGAAAGGTTTACCTAGTGTAATAATAGAGAAGCCTCTACTTGGGTCAGATTGGATAGGTTTTTAATTTCTGGGAATTTTCTGATTAGTTTTCCTAATGTTGTGCAAAGCCTATTACCCAGGTCTCTATCTGACCATAATCCCGTTTCGTTGGAGGAAAAAACTGTAGACTGGGGGCCCAAACCATTCAGATTTTTCAATTATCTTTTAGGGGAAAAATGTTTTGAGAAATTGGTTAAATCGTCCTTGGATAATTTGAGGGGGAGTAGAAAGAGAAGGGGTATATTCAGTTTTCTGCAAGGAACAAAAAAATCGATCAGAAGCTAGTCGGGCAGAAAGTTCAATGGGATTTCTGGGTCTATTGCAGATCTGGAATTGAAGATTAATGATCTTGAATTCAAGGCTCAAGCTGATGATCTTTCTCAACAGGACTGTGAACAGCCTCTGCAGTTCAAATCGAATCTTTGGAAGCTTTATAGGATTGAAGAAAGCATATGGTTTCAGAAATCAAGGGTGAGATGGATGAAAGATGGGGACAGAAATACACGATTTTTTCATCTTTCTGCACTAAACAAAAGTAGAAGAAACGAGATTTCTAGCTTGAAGATTAATGGTTCAGAAGTCTTAGATCCGCAATTAATTAAGATGCATATTGCGGATTATTTTAAGGAATCTTATAGTTCTAAGACAACATTGGAAGTCGAGGACTTATCTATGAATTTTGCTAAGTTATCAGGGGTTCAATCCTCAAATCTTGAGGAGCAGTTTTCAGAACAAGAAATATGGCAAGCGATAGCTTCATCGGATAGTTCTAAAGCACCAGGCCCGGATGGCTTCACCATGGGTTTTTTCAAGAAATGTTAGCCTAGTTTAAAGGAGCATGTCATGAAGTTTTTCCAGGATTTTTACTTTGGTAGAAAATGAGAACACGGGGTTAATCATGCGTTTATTACGCTTATACCGAAGAAGATTAATTCGGAAAGTGTGGAGGATTTCAGACCAATCAACCTTGTAGGTAGCCTATACAAGATTCTATCAAAAGTGTTATCTAAGAGGTTGAGTTGTTGTGTTGGGGATATCATCAGTCAATCCCAATTTGCTTTTATTCCGGGGAAACAGTTATTGGATTGCTCCTTCATTGCGAACGAAGGAATTGATTATTGGAGAAAACAGGGGTTGCAAGGGTTGTTCTAAAAGTTGAATTTCGTAGAGCATACGACTCTGTGGAATGGCCTATTTTATTTAGAGCAATGTCAGAGATGGGTTTTGGATATAGATGGTCCTCGTGGATTACTCAATGTCTGTCTACAGCCTCAATTTCGATACTTTTCAATGGGTCTCCTTCTAAGGAGTTTCCTATGCACAAAGGTCTAAGACAAGGCTGCAGTCTATCTCCTTTACTGTTTAACATTGTAGGCGATATGCTACACTTGATGTTATCTAAAGCAGTTGAAAGGGGTTTATTTCATGGTTTTGTTATTGGGAATTCTGAAAATTCTACTAGGTTGTCTCATCTACAGTTCGCTGATGACCTAATCATCTTTTGCCAAGCCTCTATTAATCAGATCAAGAATGTTAAAAGGGTGTTGAGGATTTTTAGCATTATGGCAGGTTTGCATCTTAATTTAGTGAAGAGTAAGCTGTTTGGAATCAATTTGGAAGATGAAATTTTATCAGATTGGGCATAACAAGTGGGTTGTTCAGTTGGTTCTTTACCGGCAGAATACTTGGGTCTTCCACTGGGAGCTAATAAAAACTCAGAGGCTCTATGAGATCCTGTCTTCAAGAATTTTAGTGCCAAACTTGCTGGGTGGAAAGCTTCTTGTTTGTCATTGGCTGGTAGGACAGTACTTTTAAAATCGGTGCTAACATCTCTACCCATTTTCTTTTTATCTCTTTTTAAAATGCCTTGCAAAATTGGCAAGAAGCTAAATTCTTTATTGGCTAACTTTCTTTGGGGTGATAAGGAGGATAAGCGAAGGATTCATTGGGTGAATTGGAATATGGTCTGTAGGCCTTTGAATTGTGGTGGACTTGGTGTCCTAGATTTGAATCTCACTAATCGGGCTTTATTAGGTAAGTGGGTGTGGAAATTTGCCAATGATAAAAATTCTCTTTGGAAATCTGTGTTGTGTAGCAAGCAAAGGGTTAGTTGTAATACTATGTCTATTGGAAAGGTTACTTCCACTCAATCTTCTTGGATCTTGAGAGGCATTGCAAATAATTTCACAAAAAATGATTCGGTAGGGGAATATCTTAGATCGAATGCGAAGTTGCAAGTAGGAAATGGGAAATCAATTTCTTTTTGGAATGATGTATGGGCAGATGTGGTTCCTTTAAAAATCATTTTTCCTAGAATATATGTGCTTTCCATTAATAAATGGGGGATGGTTGTAGAGTTTGGCAGCTATGGATCGAGTGGTTGGGAGTGGAATGTACAAACTAGAAGGAACTTGAGTGATTGGGAATTGGATCAATGGTTGGCTTTGATGAAAAAACTTAAGGATATCAAACTGTCAGACTTGGTGGAAGACTTCCTATTTTGGTCTGCTAGTGGAGATGGAATGTTTTCAGTTAAATCCTGCAGAAATTCTTTTGGTAATGTGGTTGGGAGTTGTGATTTGTGGCTTAAAGGAGTCTGGATGGGTTTTGCTCCACCTAGAGTGGAAGCTTTCCTTTGGCAGTTAGCTCACCAGAAACTGGCAGTTAAGACAGAGTTGGTTAAGAGAGGTGTATCATTAGGGGAAGATATTAAGTGTCCCTTTTGCAAGAATCAGGAGGAAACTGTTCAGCACTTATTTATCTCTTGCTATGTTGTTTGGGAATTGTGGAATAAAATAGCTAGTTTTTGGGATCTTTCGTTAGTTCTTCCTCAAGACCCTCCTGCTCTGTTTGGTTCCTGGGGTGAGTTGAGGGGGAAATCGACGATTTGGAAGTTTATTCCAGGAGTTATCTTCTGGTCAATTTGGAAAGCTAGGAATGCAATGGTGTTTGAAGGATCTACTCTTGACAGTCTGTCTTTGTTCTTTACTGTTAGATTCAGGCTTTCAAAATGGTTTTTAGAAAAGTTTCCTATGGTTTATATACAGGAGGATCTGCTGATTGGTAATCCTTCCCTCGCATATGGGTTTTCTCTATCCAAAGCTAAAGATTGTCCTGTCTTTCGGTGGATTCCCCCCCCCCAGTTGATTTTCTAAAGATGAATGTTGATGGAGCTGCTAGGCTTGATGGCTCGGGTGGAGGTATTGGAGGTATTTTGAGAGATTGAGATTGTTGCACCCTTTTGACTTTTTCAGATAAGGTAGGGCAAGGAACTCCTCCATTAGTAGAATCAAAGGCTATAAAAAGAGACATTGAAATCTTTTTGTCATCACGATGGGAATCTGTTGGGAGGTTGATTGTTGAGAGTGATTGTAAGTCGGCAGTGGAATGGGTTCAATCCCCGACTTTGGCTCCTGATTTTTACTCGCCTATTGTTTATCAGATTTTGACTCTTCTCTTTGGTAAGGTACATTCAGTGAGGTGTTCCTAGGGCGAGTAATGGGGAGGCAGACAACTTAGCAAAGAAAGGGATAGGTTGAATGTAAGGTTTTATCAATGGAATTTATGGTCTAGCGAGAAGGTTTATTGGGAATAAATCCTTAAGTTTTATGTGATGTAGTGGTTAAATCTTATGTAATTCTTTATTATTAATAAAATTTCTAAGGCACTCATTTCCTCCTTCCACTAATTAAGGAGCTTACTTCTTAGTTCCATTAATCAAGAAGGGGGTTTTTAACGAGGCCTTCCATTCCTATATAAAAAATAATATTTCTCATGTAAATTATTGCAATTTAAACAAAACATTGTTGTACTTGCAATTGAGACAAATCCTGCCTTCCAAGAAACTCTACAAATTGAGGAACAACTCCAGCTTTAATTACTTCATCAATTGGAGGACTGCGTTCTACAAGTAAGCGGATGAAAGTTAATAATGTAAAAGGACATATTCCTTAACAAAAAAAAACTGCTTTAAGTATAGAAATTAGGATATAGAAGTAGAACTAACCTATCGATAACAGCTTCCTAAACTGCGTTGTGGCTTCCAACTGTGAAGCAGGATCGTCGGACCATCAAAGGAATACTTTCCAACTATTAGAAATCATCAAGAATACCAAGTTCAGATCCAAATAATGAAAAGCCTAAACTTCAGAAGACCAGAACCACAACAAAATCCAGCCCTACACTTTCTGAACATTCAGGCAGGATTGAAGTTCGGATATCCTAACTTCAAAAACAGTATACGAATGACATTTGACCTTTTCCATCCCCTGCATGATGAAAGAGATGGGATCTAAAATGCTAAATCCTTTCCTTAACTACATCCATTTTTATCAGCAACAAAACCAAATAGAAAACAATCCTACACATACTTCACCGAAAAGGTACTAGATCAGAGAATATGAGAATACTTCCATCCTAAATCCATAATCTCGAGCACCCTCTTTCCCCCTGCTTTTAAGTATGCATAAAAATTAATAACTCAAATCTCCATGAGCCAATTCATTTCTTTCTGATCTTAAGAATCAACAACTACAATCGAGTAATAACAGCAATAATATCTGACAAAAAGTAGCATTGCAATACACTCAGCTGAATCAAGATCTCAACTTTCACCATCAATCAAAAGCTAAAAAAATCAGAACGAGAGAGTTAAAACCCATAACCAGTAAAAAAAAGGCTAAATTACATAACTGACACCGTTGAAAGGCGCCCCCGGGGACGCGCCTTTGCCATATCAGCAGACACGTGTGGAAAGCGCATCCCCGGACGCGCCTTCCATTAAATGTCATAAATGCCCCCATCCATTTTTCCTAACTACCCTCCTCCTCCCCTATATAAACCCCCTCAACCCTCACTCATTCTTCTTCACACCAAAATCATCTCCCTCTTATATAACTCAAATTCTCCAACTATTTGAGTTTTAAATTTGTTATTAGTGGTAAAAATTTATTTTTATGTTAGTATTTTTTTAAATATTATTATTTTTTTATATTAATATTTATATAATATTATTTTTTATTAATAATATTTATATATATTATTATTTAGAATTATTAATTTTTTTACTAATTATATTTTTTTGTCTACAGTTATGGAAAACGAAATGTTGTTGCGATTGGATATTGATCATATCTCCAGACATTTTAGCGATATGGTAATATTTTTTATAATTAATGTTAATATTTAAATTTATTTTTATTTTAAAGTTATTATGAATTTATATTAATTTTTATTTTTTATAATATATTATTTAGGATGCTGATCGTATTTTAGAAACTTTTATTAAAAATCCACGTATACCGATACCGGAACGTATTTGCCATATTTTGGCTTCTGCTGGGTTCGGTATATTGCAACAATTATAGGCGGTTACAAACTCGAACATGTCCTAATTTCTGCACTGATTGAGAGGTGGAGGCCCGAGACACACACTTTTCACCTTCCATGTGGAGAGGCAACAATTACATTGGAGGATGTCTCTATGCATCTGAGGCTTCCCGTCGACGGAAATATGATGTATGGCGGATGTGATTGGCAATCAATGCATTGATTATCTTGGAGCTGCTCCGCCAGAGTTTAATGTAGGTAGAATAGCTTTATCTTGGTTGAAAGCTAATTTTGAGGTTTTAAATGAAAATGCTTTAGAGGATCAAGCAAAGGCATATGCTCGGGCATATATTCTACGAATAATTGGAGGAATATTGATGCCCGACAAATCTCGCAACCAGGTGCATTGTATGTGGTTGCGGCATCTGATCAATTTTGATGAAGCTGGAAGATATAGTTGGGGTGCTGCAGTTTTGGCATTTCTCTTTAAAGAAATGTGTTGGGCGACGAATTATAAGAAAACTGCTATCGGTGGATGTCTTCTGCTTCTACAATCATGGGCGTGGTTCCGCATGCCTTTCTTATGCCCGATCGTGAATGAACCATACGTATTCCCCTTATTGTTGAGGTAATTTTCGAACTAAATTTTGATTTAAATATTTTCAATTAAATAGGGTGATATTTAGTTTATATTATTTTCATAGGTGGTCGATGAAAAGAAAGGACCATAAAAGTATACCTACTGGGTTAGAGGAAATTCGTTTACTTATTGATACGAAAGCTGGGTCTGAGGTATGTTTTTAAATTTGTTTAATTATTAATATTTTAATTTAAATGTTAGATATAATTAGAATATTTTATTTATTTGAATTGTATATTTATATTTCAGTTTCAGTGGATACCTTATGCGAGCGATGAAGTGAAAGCTTGCATCCCACCCCACCTTAGTGGGTCATTAGAGGTATGGATATCGGTTATACCTCTTATATGTTATGCTATTATTGAGTGGCATCCAGTTGATCGCTGCTCCGTCAGTATGGTTACGCAATATATTCCTGGAGCTCCTAGAAATTTAGACGACGTGCATAACATAGATAGACGGGGAAAGAAAGATGTTAACTGGGTGGTGAGACACAGAGATTGGATTGCGCTTTGGGAACCGATACACTGTTGGCCCCTCGACAATATTACGCTGAAACTGGTCATATGGTTACGGACTATATGGACTGGTTTAATGAAAATGGGAAGCCGTTTCTACTTTCGGCGGAAGCACGAGGGGTTAACATTCCTAGGCGCCGAGAAGCACGAAGAAATCCTCCACGAAATAGGCAACCACCGCCATGTGGAACTCATTCGAGAAGACGACATCGGTGATCCAGTTATATTTAATGTTATTTAAATAATTAAATTTCAGAATTTTATGTAATTTGGTTATGTTATTTAAATGTTTCATGGTTGTTACATACATATTTTTTAATGTTATTTTTTATTCACATTTAACATTAAATGTTTGATAAATGTTTTTAAAATACAAATTATATTATTCGAAATTTAAAATAAAAATAAAAAATATTATTCAAATTTAAATTTAAATAAAATATAGTATTCGAAATTTAACATTAAATTTCAACTTAATATTCCAATTGTATTCGAAATTAAAAGTTATTTCCAATTATAGTTCACAATACTTAAATTGAAATTAAATTCTATACATATGATTTTATCATTAACATATATATTAAAACGTATACATTAAAATCAACTTATGTTGAGTTCATCGATCGACGGAATCAGCCAAGAGGGGGGTGAATTGGCAATTTATTCAATGTCACATTTCAATGCTCATTCCATACAATTTCAATGTCACAATCAACTTATCACTTCACATTTATTCAATTTATCCATAACATTTTATCTAATTTATTCAAACTTCACATAACGTTTTAATTTAAGTTATTCTTAACTTGTTGAACTTTCAAAAGAAGTTAAATTTAAGTTATTCAAACTGATATATCTAGTGTCCCCGAGGGACATGAATGACATAATAGGGCAATGATAACATATTCTCTGACGAAATAATGGAAGGCGCCCCCCGGGAACGCGCCTTCATGTGAATAGTGAAATAATAGGTACTGATATATCTATGTCCCCGAGGGACATGAATGACATAATAGGGCAATGATAACATATTCTCTGACGAAATAATGGAAGGCGCGCCCTCGGGAACGCGCCTTCATGTGAATAGTGAACCGATTATAGACACTATTATATGCAACGTATTATAAACTTTCAAAACAAACTTCAGTTCACAATCTTTCAAATTCTCAAATTCTCAAACTCTAAATTCTCAAATTCTCTGAAAATGAGTCGTCTTTCTGCTGTTGTTTTGTATGATGGAGAAATTAAGGAAGCTGAAGAGGGGGTTGTTTTTGAGTCAGATCATTATATCCCCTTAACCTTGAAGAAAACATCACAATTGAGGAGTTAATCACAAAAAATTCATTAAAGATTCGTAGCAGGCCAGAGAAGACTATCTTCACTTCAGTACAGATTTCCTACTGAACTTTGCCGCTCACGTATACATCATTTCAGCTTTCAAACGATGATGATGTTTCTATGATGGTTAATGCTCATATGGGAGTTCACAATCTCTTATTGAAATGTATGCCACTTATTGAGGTTCGTGCAACTCGTGGTCTCATATTCCTCTCACTTTGGCATTGCATATCAAACTGATCAAGTTGATAGCCCGAAACAACTGATCTGTAATGATTTCACATCATTAATGGCGGATCCAATGCCATATACCATGCCATCAAGTTCAATAGGAAGGCATTCATCTGCAACTGCTTATGATCTCAACCCACGTGGCTTCACCAATAATCCATATGGCAACATCTCTTCTACTTCAAGGGGCAGACATTCATCTGCCAATGTTTTCGACTTACATATGGAAATGCCAACGAGACGACAGTCTATTCACATCCCACATGATACAATGGCCTCAAGTTCAAGGGAGGACACGCAAGCGGAACTTATTTGACCTCAACATTGGATTATCGGAGAACCCTCATCTCCACCAACCTCTTCGGGAGCAGGTGCAGATGGTGCTGAAACGGGATTATTCGTTGAACCTGACTCACCACAGTTTAACGTACATTCTGATGATGACGAGGATGACGTTCCGATAAATACAACACCAGCCGAACTTCCTGCACATATGTATGAGGCTGATTATGATGCAATGTATGAGCCTGAATTTCCAGATCTTCCTGATGTTGGCAACTATGGACTTCAATCATCAGTCAATGACGGTAATTTACATATTGGAATGGAGTTCGCATCGAAGGAGGAAGCAATGATGGCAATAAAGAGTTACAATATTCGTAACTCAGTTTTAGTCCCGAGTTGATCGATCTAACACGGAGAAATATGTCTGCTACTGCGTCCAACGTGACAACGGATGTCAATGGATGGTCCGTGTATCAAAGAGGAAGAGGAAGAACTTATGGGAACTAACCAGATACAACGGTCCTCATACATGTTGTGCAACAGGTATAAACCAGGATCATCCCAACTTGGACTCCAACATTATTTGTCAAGCAATCATGCCCATTGTGAAGCAAAGCTCTCATATAGCTGTTGCAGTGTTGATTTCTGCTATACAGTCACAATATGGGTACACTGTCTCATATAAAAAAAGCGTGGTTGGCAAAACAGAATGCCAATTGCAAACTTCATGGCGAATGAGATTCCTCTTACAACGCTGCCCAGTTGGTTTCATGTTTGTGCAAAGACTTAATCCCGGGACAATTGTTGAGTTCGAAACTCAACATCATTACGTGAATGATCGAATGGTTCGCGATCGCTGCCAATTTTACCGAGTCTTTTGGACTTACCCTCAGTGTATTAATGCAGTCAAGTACTGTAAACCAATTGTCCAAATTGATGGTACTTTCTTGTATGGGAAATACAAGCAAGTTTTATTATTGGCTGTGGTCCAAGATGGAAACCGCAATATTCTTCCTGTTGCGTTTGCCCCGTTCAAGGAGAAGACACTGAGTCTTGGGCTTTTTTCCTTAAAAATTTACGTTTACATGTTGTCACCAGGGAACGACTATGCATTATTTCAGACCGAGGAGCCGGGATAAAAGCACAATGGACTCTTTGGGTACAATGTATAGACCTCCACATGTTCAACATCGTTATTGTGTCCGTCATATTGCTGCAAATATTACGGAAAACAAGAAATGAACGTCAGTTAGTCGTGCGGATGGGTATGTTACTTTTTCCCAATTTTTCTATCAATTTCTTATTACTTATTTATACTTCATATTAACTATTACATATTCCTAATGGCTTAGGTTACGAACTCTTACCTCAAAGGTTTGAGTCGATGCTACAAGAGCTGTTTGGCAAAAATAAGAGGGGTGCGAGTACATTATGGACATCAACAAAGAATGTGGACAAATGCATATGACGGGGGGTATCGCTATGGTCATATGACAACAAACTTGGCTGAAGCAATAATTCAACCTTAAAGGGGCGCGTCATTTACCAGTCACGGCGTTGGTCAAAACGACTTATTTTCGTTTGGGTCAACTCTTTGCAAAACTCGGTGGACAAGCTCTTACTTGGATGCAAAACGGACATATTTACCACCCAAGACTAGTAGCCGATTACAGAAAAAAGTGGTTGCATCAAATGGGATGTTAGTTACAAATTTTTCTCGCACCCGTGAATTGTTTCGTGTAACCGAAATGCCACGTCCGCTGCAAGGGATTGAAGCTAACTCTTTCAGAGTTCTGCAAGAGAGGTGGTGCGATTGTGGTTTCTTTCAAGCACTCAAATATCCATGCTCTCATGTCATTGCTGCTTGCTCACATTCGCATTTGGACTACAAAAATTATGTTGATCCCGTATACCAACTTTCACAAGTATTCAAGGTATATGAATTTGAGTTTCCGCCCATAGGAAACGAAAGAGACCCAAATGAGATTCAAACTTGGCTTACAATTGTACCAGATCCATTGCTATTGAGGGACTCAGGTCGTCCAAAATCTATTAGAATACATTGTGATATGGATATTCGGGAGAAGTCAACAGAACAAAACGATGTGGGCATTGTAGAAACATCGGGCACAATAGAAAAAATGTCCAGCTCTGTTATCATCATATAACCGTTAACTCTTATGTATTAATATTGTATTTAAATGAATGTTTTTTTCTAATAATTTAATGTTTATTGCTTATATATTTGTCAATGTATGTACACCTAAATAATTTTTTTTAACTTTAAATACATAAATATTTAATATATTTATTTAATATAATAATTAATTTATTGTTATAATTTTTTTTTAAAATATAATAATAATTTCACCTTCTAAGTAGAGAAAAATATTAAATTAAACAAATTAAAAGTTATTAAAAAATTTATGTATACGATGACACATTTCATGTTCTGATTGGAGGATTAAATTTATTAAATTAAATTTTCAATAAGACTAATTTTATAAAATATGTAAGTCTTGAAGATTAAATATGTAATTATACTAATTTATTAACTTATGCATCAATATTTTCGTTAAATATTGATATGAGATGACTAGATTGATAACATTTAAATAATTAACTGATAAAATTAATATCGATAATCAAAATAAAAAATCTCGAAACTTGATAATTCTTACATTATAATCGAAACATTTTACATAATATATTATTAATTTATAATAATAATAAAAATAAACTATTTATTATAAAACAAAATGCTGAGTTGGCAAAGGCGCGTCCCCGGGACGCGTCTTCCACACGTGACATCCAACTCAGCGAAAAACACGGGTAAAGCGCGCCCCCGGGGACGCGCCTTTGCCAACTCAGCAGAAAAGGTACTACTTCTGGAAATATTGGTCAAACGGTGTCAGAAAAATAAAATTAAAAGCAAACGGTATCAGTAATTTAGCCTAAAAAAAGTACCTTTTTTCGATTGCGGCGGCATTTTGGGTGGTATCGCCCAAGGGCAGTTGAGACTGAAAAAGAAGGCCTTCTCTCCGCTTTTTAAGGAGATTGTCTTCACGCTTGTTCTTCCGGATCTCAACCAAATTGTCCTCTCTCCTCCTCCTGGCCTCCTCTGCATCCACACCCGTTTTGTAACTCTTCTTTCTCACCTCAGTTCGGGTACCTGCTCGAAGCGACATTCTGTTCTTTTGAATACTTTCCTTTGTGTACCTTTGTTTGTAGAAATGACACTGTAAAACAAATGAAAGGGATGTCGTCGAAGGCGGGTAGTGGTGGAGCCGTGGAGGGCAGAAACCAGTGTTAAGGAAATAAGTGCTCAAACTACCTATATGTGTAGAATAGCTTTTCACCTATAATATTAACGTGTTTAATATTATAAACGTTATTTATTTATTTATGAGTTTGAGTCTGTAATAATATTAATTTTTTTATTAAATGATATATGTTATAATCTGAATCTTAAAATTTTTGTATAAAATTTTTAATTATATATTTTCTAAAATTAAAAAATAAAATTTTTGAAATAAACCCAAAATTTTAAAAATCTTCATTCAACCTTTAAATCCACGTCGGCCTCCACCCATTCCTGTCGACGAAATTCCATCCGACCTTACGTCCCCTAGTGATCAAAACTCCTATGAAATCGTGATTGATCGATGACCTACCAAATACGAATCAATATTTTATACCCCTCAAATCCTAGGTTGAAAACCGCAATCCCACGCGATTCCTACGACCAATTGATAATAAATACGACGACATATAACTAGGAGGATGACATGAATTATGTCGACATCAGATTAAGGGTATGATTTGAAGATATTAGGGATTTAAGGTTATTTTATAATTTAAGAGAAATTAATTTTTTTTATAAATATAACAATATTTTAAAAAAAAATTTCAAAATCACTCAATTGTGAAAATATTACTTAAGGAGAGAATTAATATCATTGATGGCCTGAACACCTAAATTGACAACGTTTATAATATTAGACACGATCAAAAAATATTGTATGCATTTATTCATGAATATATGTATGGTTTACACTTATTTTATATATGAGCCGTAAGATTATGAAATGATAAATGGGTTTCTATTATTATTTTATTTCTTTTCTTTTATGATCTACAGGGTAAATAGACTTTGGCAGACTCACTAAATGCGAATGGTCAATGGGTCAGTTTTTTTTCTTCTTCCTTTTCGAAAAAGGCCAACGGACCGGGTTTTTCAAGTAAAAATGGGGAGTTTTAAGTACCCAAAACTTCATCTTCCCTTAACAAACCTACAATTTGTTCAAAGCTAAACTGAAAATCTAACCATGGCATTGATGCAAGTTCTTAACAGCACAAAGGCAATTCCTTTCTCAAATCCATATGTGTTCTCGAGGTTCTTCTCCAAGTCAAGTTCATTTATTAGTAAGGCCTTCTCTGCCCTTCTTAAACAATAGCAAGAACATTAAAAACGAAATATTCCCATAGTTCTCTTTGGTTTCTGGGAAATTTGTAGAATATTATTTGTGTTAGTTCTGTTGCTTGTGATTTTTAGACTCTTTTTGGTTGGCCATTTGGTTAACTGTTCATATGAAGTTTATATTTCTCAGTCTTCTAGTATTGCTCAGAATAATGAGGATTATAGGAAAAAGTTTGGTTCTTTTTTTCCTAAAATCCATTGAAGTGGGATGAAGAGATGAAAAAGAAAGAGTGGGCTTTTCTATTCATGTTCTTAGATCATTAGGATTCTCGAGAAATATCTTTTAAAATAGCTACATAGACTTGACATGAAGTTGGTCCTTTTTCCAGTCTACAAGCTAAGTTAGTACCATTAGGAGAATTTATTGCCCCAAAGGTATTATATTGTAAATGTCATACCTTTTGGATAATTGTAATCTCGAATAGGTGAAAAATGAATTTGAGAATTGATCTTGTTATTTTTGCAGCGAAGGTTGGAATACCGGAATTTCTGAATGGAGTTGGAAATGGGGTTGAAACTCATGTAGCAAAGCTGGAATCTGAGATTGGTGACTTTCAGAAACTTCTCGTCACCTGCACTCTTAAGCTCAAGAAACTTGGAATTCCTTGCAAACATGTAACAATCTCCCCCAACTCTAAAACACAAATTTTGTTTAATATGCATGACTATGTTGAGCAACTGCATGCTTTTTGTGCATGCTACTTTCTTCTAATGCTCCCATGATGTTGTCCCAATTTTGATATAAAATCCTAGCTTGTTGCTTATCAAACTGGAATTGCAGCTGGCTAAACTATCGCTATTCTGTTCTTTTATGACCTTAGTCTAAAGCTGTGTGTTTATTATTTGTTTTGTTGCTTAATATAGTAAGCTAGTTTGAGTAGTTCAACAGCCTGTGCCATCTAGTATCTTTCAAAGCTTAAAGCTTCTGGGTATGGTAGCTTACAAGTAGTTTGAATGAGCCGGATAGAATAGAATGGGAATTATAATTGTTGATAGAATGATTTTAGTTTAGGCTTTTGTATGAAGGAAATGAGTGAGGAGGGGGAATTCATTTATCAAATGGTTAAGATTCGTAATCACTTTCCTGGTTTGCAGCTTAACCATTAGATTAGCAAATTTTTCGTTCTTCATACCATGCAAAGCATGAAAGTGTATTCTCTATCTTATCTGTCCATGTGTCGAAGGGGTAAATCATTTTTTTGTGTTGTAGACAAAATGCTTCTTGCTTTAGATGCACGGCATGCAATGTGCTGGTTGATGGGTTAGATCGTGCAGCAATGATTACTAAATTATCCTATCGTTATACAAATGGTAGGATGCCGGCGTAGATTCTTGATATCTACCTAGGTGAATTATCTTGATGTGCTATTTAACTGTTGTGTTCTGGTAGTGTTATCCTTGATGCTGAACAAAATTTGATGGCCTCAAGGCCTCAACAATCTTGTTAGCCTATGGAAGTGTTCTGCTTTTTGGGGTGTAAAAAGATTTGCTATTTAAGTAAATGTATTTGTAGATTCAACTAGGATCGAGTTAGTTGCTGACGGCTTTTTTATTTCTTGCAGAGAAAGCTGATATTGAAATACACGCACAAATATACGTTGGGTTTGTGGAAGCCGAGGGCTGAACCCGTGAAGGCTTGATCAATCTGTCTAATTCTTTGGTTGCTGTGTTAAGATATTACAGTTACAGCCGTTTCTTTCCCTTTTTTGCCTTGATATTGAGTACTAAAAACTAGATTTCTAAACAATTTTATGATTCTGTAATTGCAGTATGCAACATTTGTCATTAGAAAACTTTATGGAGTTGATCATATTGGTATCGAGGACCAGTATGTCTATTGCCAAATATGTTCATCCTTCCATAACTAAATTTTCGAAAATGTCATTATCGACAGCATGGTTACTGTAAGTCGCGATCGATGGCAGTAAAAATACCTCAACAATACAAATAATTAGGCTGAAGTAGCTATGGCCGTCTGCAAAGTGCACCATGTACGGTAGCTTTTTCATTTGATTCTTCCAGTCGCAGTACAATACTACACAAGCAGAGCAAAAACAAAACAAGTTAAAATGTTGCAAGATTGAGGTTGAAGCAAACCCAACTTCATCAGTCCTTCAAGGAACCATACCTGGGAAGCTGGTACTGCGCTCACACCAGTAACTTAAGTGTGGGAAGAAAAGTAAAAACTCTTGGAATGGTTTTGGAACCAATCCCTGGTAGGCATAAATGGTTATGGAGGAACCTGGAAACCTTAGCATATTTTGTGCAATTTCGAAGAACTTTAATCCAATCACACCATGCGTTAGAACCCAATATTCCTAAGAGAGAAAATCTATCAGCAAAACGTGAAATTGAAAGAACTAATGGTGTGGTAACTTTTTCTAACATTCCATCAACTGGATCTGGGCGTTAATTATCTTCTTCAAACTGTTCATTAATATGAACTTTTTTGGATAAATAAGCTTTTGTTGTGTATCAAACAAGTAACTCGGGGGGTTAATGGACAAGTAATTTCTTTTTGTTTTAGGGGTGAATTAGTATATTAACTGGTTTGTTTTATAAGAAAAACAGATGCTAATCAACCAGTTTAATTGAATGCCGTGTAAGTAAATTATGACATGCAAATCAATGGTGTAAATTAAGCCTGGTTACCATGGAAGATTACGACATAGATGAAGAGAATAGTGATGACCATTGCAAAAACACTGGCTTGTGATGAGGATGCCTTTTCGGCTCCCTTTTTCTTTAATGCATTGATTCTCTGGTTCCTTGCATGCCTCAACCGTGAAAGCTGAGAAACTTCTCTAACCAATTTGAGAGCAGCTTCGCGGCTACCGGGCTGTAGCGGCGGTTTTTGAGGCTTCTTTGAACTTCCTCTGATCCCTCGACGTTTTCAACCAATATTAGAAAAAATGTCAAATGATCTCTCGGATTTTACCGGAATCCGACGTGAGTTGTACAATACTTTAATTTCATACATCAGTTATCAACGATACGTTGCACATTATGTTAGGCCGCTTATTTATTCAACAGCATATATACTAAAATAGTTTATAGTTGGATTATATATAAATATCATTCATCTTTAACTTCGCATTCTATATCAACAACAGATTGTCATTTAGGGGAGAATTCATAAAAAAAATATTGATAAATTTATTGTATTTCTTTTAAATCTTTTTTCGCAAGCTGCACTTCTATTATATCTCCTTAATCTATTCAACTCTTCAAAAAACATTTCTTCATTGAAAAACCTCCGAAGTTTTATATCCTGTGTTGGGAAATAAACCAAGTACAAGTAATTTCCCTATAGTCAGATTAGTGAGAATACGAAATAAAAGCGGAAAAATAATACCCGAAATTGATAACGGAGTTCAACCAATTGTGCTTACGTCTCCGGACTGCTGTAGATTTTTTACTAAGAGAGAAAAATTACAGGTGTTTACAAAACGCTCACTACTCACAAGAAAGCTCTCTAGTATTGGGAGAAAGAAATGATTTTTGGGATGGTTTTGAAGCTAAATGAGCTAGGGTATTTATAGTTGAAACTTAAGGACTTAATCTTGTAAATACCCTAAAACCTAGGGATTAATTGTGATTATCTAATTATCATTTTTCAACAAACATCTACCAAACTTTGAAAAACTATTTTTCAAAGAAACATTTACCAAACTTTGAAAACCATTTTCAAAGAAACATTTACCAAACTTTGAAAATCATTTTTTCAAAGTTGGTTACCAAACTTGAAAACCATTTTAATACTTTCAACAATCTCCCACTTGAAGACTGATTTTAATCTGTCTTCACACCTCGATCTATGCAACAGCTTTTCTAGTCTTGTTACTCTAGCATGCCAACTGAAGTTGAACACGTCTTTGTCAACATATCTGCCGGATTTTGAGCTCTACTGATCTTTTCAAGTTTCAAAATCTCATCTTCCAGAAGAGACCGAATAAAATGATATCGCAATTGTATGTGCTTTGTCCTGGAATGAAAATATGGATTCTTTGCTAGATGTATAGCACTTTGACTGTCGCAATACAAGACATTGTTTTCTTGTTTCTTGCCTAACTCTTCCAAGAAACTTTGGAGCCAAACCATCTCCTTGCTAGCTTCCGTAACAGCGACATATTCTGCTTCAGTATGGAGAGCAACTATCTTCTGTAGTTGAGAAACCCAACTCACTGCGGTTCCTCCTAGAGTATAGACATACCCTGTAGTGCTCCTTCTGATGTCAATATTTCCGGCTAAGTCAGCATCTACATAGCCTGTCAGTATCGTATCTCCACCTTTGAAACAAAGTGCTTTGTTTGTGGTACCCCGCAGATATCTGAGGATCCATTTGACTGCTTCCCAGTGTACCTTGCCCGGATTATTCATGTACCTGCTAACAGCTCCCACTGCTTGAGCAATATCTGGTCTGGTACAAACCATGGCATACATCAGACTTCCAATCGTTGAGGCGTACGGCACCTTCACCATGTGTGCACGTTCTTCCTCCGTCTTTGGTGACTGTTCTTTGGAGAGTCTAAAATGAACACCTAAAGGTGTACTTACTGGTTTAGCATCTTGCATGTTGAACCTGGAGAGTACTTTGTTGATGTACTCAGCCTGTGATAATATCAAAGTCCCTGACTTTGTGTCTCTCTTGATCCTCATCCCAAGAATCTGTTTTGCAGCGCCCAGATCCTTCATGGCAAACTACTTTGATAATTTTTGCTTCAAGTTTATAATCTCTTGCATGTCTGAGCCTGCAACGAGCATGTCATCAACGTACAACAATAAAATAATGAAGCTATTGTCGAACCTCTTAATGTAGCAACAATGATCTGCTTGGCATCTGGTAAAACCACTACTACTCATGAAACTATCGAACTTCTTGTACCACTGTCTAGGAGCTTGTTTTAAACCATACAAGCTCTTCTTCAACCTGCATACCAGATTTTTCTTGTCTGCCTCTATGAAGCCTTCTGGCTGCCTCATATAGATTTCTTCCTCCAAATCACCATGAAGGAAAGCTGTCTTTACATCTAACTGCTCAAGATGTAAATTCTCTGCAGCTACAATTTTCAACACCAGTCTGATTGTAGACAGTTTCACGACTGGAGAGAAAATTTCATTGTAGTCAATACCTTCTTTTTGCTGAAAACCTTTGACAACCAATCTTGCTTTATAGCTTTTGCTCCCATCGTGCTCTTTTTTGATCCTGTAAATCTACTTGTTGTGAAGTGCTTTCTTGCCTGGTGGTAATTCAGCTAATTCCCACGTCTGATTTGACAAAAGCGAGTCCATCTCATCTTTCATGGAAGACTCCCACTTGACTGAATCCTCCACTTGCATTGCTTCATCATAGCACTCTGGTTCACCATTGTCAGTCAGCAACAAGTAGTGCAAAGAAGGAGAATACCGTTGAGTTGGTTTAGGAATTCTGGATGAGCGTCTCAGTTCTGGTGTGCCTGGTTCTTCCTCTTGAACTGCTTCAGGACTGATCTGAACATCATTTCCAGAAATCTCCTCGAACTCAGAAAATTCCTTTGTTTCAGCTTCGGCATTACTTGATTCTGCGGTTGACCTGTCTTTGTACATCACATTTTCATTGAAAATGACGTCTCTGCTTCTAATGATCTTCCGATTTTCGTAGTCCCAAAACCGGTAACCAAACTCATCACCACCGTAACCAACAAAGGCACATTTGTTGGACTTAGCATCAAGTTTACTTCTTTCAGCAGAGTCTATATGTACATAAGAAATACAACCAAACACTCTTAAGTGTGAAAGGTTTATTTCTTTCTTGCTCCAAACTTCCTCTGGTATTCTGCCATCCAAAGGAACTGAGGGCCCACGGTTGATCAGGTAAGCTGCAGTGTTGATAGCTTCAGCCCATAGAAATTTGGGTAATCCGACATGTATCCTCATGCTTCTGGCACGTTCATTCAGAGTTCTGTTCATGCGCTCTGATACGCCATTCTGCTGCGGTGTTATGGGAATTGTTGTCTCCATCTTGATCCCATTGTTTGCGCAGAAATATCTGAATCTACTATCTCTGTACTCTCCTCCATTGTCAGACCTCAACCGCTTGACTTTTAAACCAGTCTCATTTTCCACCATGGCCTTCCATTTTCTGAAGGTATTGAAGACTTCTGATTTCTTCTTCAGAAAATAAACCCACACCTTCCTTGTTGAATCATCGATGAAGGTGACATAATATAGTGAGCCTGCAAGAGATGGAACTGGGGATGGTCCCCATACATCAGTATGAACCAATTCTAACCTTTCTGCCTTAGGTGTTCATTTTCCACCATGGCCTTCCATTTTCTGAAGGTATTGAAGACTTCTGATTTCTTCTTCAGAAAATAAACCACACCTTCCTTGTTGAATCATCGATGAAGGTGACATAATATAGTGAGCCTGCAAGAGATGGAACTGGGGATGGTCCCATACATCAGTATGAACCATTCTAACCTTTCTGCCTTAGGTGTCTGCCAATCTTTGCAAAACTGACTTTCTTTTGTTTGCCAAAGATGCAATCCTCGCATAGTCCGACATCTACATTCTTTAGATCCGGCAGCTTCCCTTTTGACAGAAGTATCTTCATTCCTTTCTCGCTCATATGGCCAAGCCTTTGGTGCCATAGGCTTGATTTTCCATCAACATCTGCTACTGCAATGATATTCTCTAAATTTGAGGTTACATAGAGAGTACCAGTCTTCTTACCACGAGCAATGACGAGTGCTCCTTTGGTAATCTTCCATTCACAGCCTGAAAAGGTTGTACTGTATCATTCTCCATCAAGCTGTCCTACAGAAATCAAATTTCTTTTGAGACCATGAAT